GCATGCTCCTGTTTTGTCTGCGGAGAGTCATATTAGTGATCCCAAGAGAAAAAAAGAACACAGATTTTAAAATGAAGATATTTAAAATGTGTAACATTTCAGTGTTACTTGTAACCTAGCATTTTATGTTCATGCTATAAAGCTTAAATTAAGCCTCCTAGGAATGGCTATGTATCTCTTGCTGCTGGTTTTGTCTAAAAACAAAATACACTTTAAATAGATATGTTACAGTACTGGAGTACATATTAACACTAAATCATAATTGTACTCTCTATTTTCTCCCTTCATTTCAAAACGCCGGCCCAGGGAAAGAATAATGGGTTTTAAATTCAAGCTCATCTGAAATGTAAACTTTTAGCAAATAGCTCTTGCTTATAAAGTTGAATTTCTAAAGTGACTGGCAGAAAATATTTTTTCTTCTCCATGTAACATTTTGAAATACCCATCAGTGTCAAGTAAAACAGCACGAATCGCTGTTGCTCTTTTAAATAAGGCAGAGCAATGTTAAGAAAAACGTCAAAAAAAATCTCAATGGATTAAAATTACACTTCTGTACCATGTCAGCGCTGATGGCAAACCGTAATGTTTTGCATAATTTCAAAGACTACTCTTCATAAAACATTCAATACATAAACAGGTTGTGGGGTTTTGTTTTCAACATTTAAGATCACACACAATTGATGGTAAGAGCAATATTAAATGTTCTTAAATCCTGTTATTCTATGAAATGCATTTTGTGGTTACAGATTATAAATAAAATCAAAAGAAGCTGAGCATCAGTTCCACTCTAAGATGCAACCTAGAAACAAAAAGGCATTTTCCAGTTTCTCTCTCTTTTCTTTTTAGTTACTTACAAATATTTTCTGAATAAACCGGATTAACTATATTTAAAAGAGGAGATAAAGAGCACATTTTTTGTTGCATTAAAATATTATTCAGGGTTTCCACAATCTTGAAAATACATTTAAGGCTGAATCTAATGTTCACATTTTTGACATTTCAGAGTTTAAGTAAAATAGCCATATAGCAATGCAAATATGGAATGAGTAGTTGATGAAGAAAATATTAAGATAATAATATTTTATAATATTTTCTGGCCAAATGTTAAAAACCTTCTGTGACTTTTTTGTTTTAGTTTGCAAAAGTATTTTAAACCAATAATACAATTACTGAATTAGCTGAAATATACTTTATTATATTACAATGAAAAACACAAAAACACAAGCTAAACACAAAAATCATGGCAATATTGTGATCAAAAGACCAATGTTGATATCAGTTACATTTCAATGCTTTAAAAAAAATAACAGGTTCCAAAAAAAAAAAAAGAAATTAGACAAATTTGCCTCTTAACCTTTAAAGATTTCCTGCTATTCCTGTATGTCCTTTATTACATTAATTTTTTATTTAAATTACACCATTAACTGGATATGAATTTATCAAGAATACATATATTGATTTATAAAACAGTATCATTAATTATTATAATAGCTAGATGTAGCTGATATTACAAAGCCATTTAAAGGTTTTTAATATAACTTGGACATACATAGATAGATAGACATTATGGACAAGACTACAATTTAAACTGGCGACCAGCAGTTAATGAAATCCTTGATTTATATTCTAGTTTACAGATTGATTATATTGGTGCTTTGTAAAATTATTTATATTATGTCATTTTTCAGAGGATGTCTTTTTTTAAAAAAAGCAAAATAAAATATTCAGTCAATTTTCCAAACAGATTTTGTTTTCTGTGTTTTAAATGCTGGTGATAATATATGAGTTTTTGAGACTTGTTATTGCCACAGTAGAGTTGGTTCTCTTGTTGGTAGCTCTGTTTGCTTAGGCACCATTTCACGTACTCATCTGCTTGAAATAAACAAATGCTCTTTTTTCAATAGCATGATGTTTATTTCATAAAACATACAAATCACAAAATACTTTTCTGGCATAGGTAATTTTAGGCTTTTTTGTTTGTTTGTTTGTTTTTTGTAAGGTGTGGGAGAAATGGGACTTACCCAAATGCTGCAAAACTGGCAGTCACGGAGAACATTTGTGTTTAAAATGCAATCTGAAGAAAAAGAAGAAGAAAAAATAAGGAATTATATAAACAAACAACAGTATAGCACTTTCAAGTTACTTCTGCAATGTTAATTGATTAGTACATTGAAAGTATAAATCTTTTCACATTGTTCTTGAGGGGCTATGTCTCTTGACTCTTTATTTATATCACTTATTCTTGTCTGGCAACATACGTTACCGATTTATTATAGTATTTTACTGTTAGCTAGACAAATCTAAGGGCTAGCTGAGAAGGGTAGTTTCATCTGATGAGTTTAACAACAATTGCAGGGCATCCTTTAGGGTGAGCCAATAGGCTCTTTTGAAGCTATAATACTATTAACCATTTTGATGCTGAAATATGTTTATTGCTGAAGTTTGTTTTTTTTCTAAATATGTGTCTCTTTGTTTCAAATGTACACAAAGCTTCATATAAATCATTGTTTGACTAACTTTCACCTAAAAATGGTTTTCTTTTATGTATCTCATATTGTCTTGTAAGTTATTAGAAGATATAAGAAGTTATTTTTAAAGTACTCAGATGGGTGGGAAACATGTTTTAGTAAACAGTCATCAATTAATTCTATACTGTATTGCAAATGCAAACAAATACTCATCAGTATTTAATCACTCACTTTTCTCTAATGTGGTTACTGACAGTCAGAGAGTTTTTACTACCAAGAATGCATCCTAAAAAAATATACATTTTTGAATGGATGCAGCAGCAGTCAAGAAAATCTTGAGTAAATTAATGGTCCAGTCAGATTTTTTGTTTTGCTTCTACATGTAACATTTAAATGACTTGTTTTGAAATAAATTGTTGGCTTCGGTTTTGCTCTTTATTCATTTTGAATTGAAAGCAACATTAGCAGCCTTTTTTCCATAAGGAGAATTATCCTCTGTCATGTTCTGATTTTCAAAACGTCAGATTTTAACCATCACAAATAAGTTCATTTATTTATAAAAATTGAAATGAGCACCCATACATCAATACATAAAATTTCAATGTTGGGGTGGGGGAAGAGGAGAGAAACAGTCTTCCTACAAAAAACATAAGATTGAAAAGTAATGGCTCCAAACTGGTTAACACATCTAGACTACCGTTATTGATATTCAGATAACAAGGGTTTGACATCAGCCCAAATAAACCTGAAAGTTTTTTCAGTGCTGAAACTCCATCTTGAATGTCTAGCAGCCAACAGGTTCCCAGTGCCTACTGGCTGTGTGGACATATTTACTAATAGCATGTTACATCAGTAAATCTCACTCTCTGACACCAAGAGATTAACTCAGTCCATTACACCTACCTATGTATTCTAGCACCCATGGGAGATATAAGATAACCACTAATATGGGGGCATTGAGACCTTTGTAATACCAAGGAACGAAGGGATGAGGTAAGGACAGATTTGTAACCTTAGCCCCAAGAACAAGGAAACGCAGAGTGAAGTCAGATCCTTAGTGTTCTATAAACCTACTGTAGCTCTTTGTGTTTTAATTTCTTTTGTATCTTTATAGCCCTCATCTCAAAAACAGAACAGAGAAGGGAGCCTTTCATATAAAATTTTCAGGAAAGGACACGATTAAAATATCTATGATCTAGTGGGTAAATGTTAGTTAAATAAAGTAAATATAAACATGTAGGAACCATAATTAAATCCAACTAAATGCTTTAAAAGGGGATCTTGACTCAATAGACAGCAGCAACTTTTCTCACATCATTTGTGGATTCTTGGCAAATTATCACCCAACAAGGTATATTAGAGTAGTATGTTTAAGTAGATGTTTAAGTGGGTTGAGGACATAAAATAGCTGATTTTCAAATAATATTAGTTCATCTGTTATCAAATTATATTTATTTTTTATTATGAAAATTGCCAAACATTTTCATTATTAATTAAACTCTTGTAGGAAATAACACACATTGAGCATATTCTCTGAGTTGTAATACTTGTGCAAAATCAGCTTTGAAATTTACACCTTTTGATGAAATTTCCATAAATAATCATGTTTTCTGCCAAAACCTTTATTCATACTCCAGCTGACCTCGTGCAAATGATTTTCAACCTAAACGGAATCTTTGCAATAAAGTTCTACGCTTCTAGAAACCAGGTCTTACCATGGAAACACTGAGAGTCATTTAACCATTAATATTGCTTTAATCAAGGGATTGAGGCCTTGATTTTATTTTTATTTTCATTTAGGTAAGTGTCACTAATGGTCTGGACAAATGTCAAAGGCTGTGGTTCAGTCTGACTATTAAAACCTTGTGTCGCAATTATTACCTCTATTCTTCTCTATATTTAAATATGCTTCTGGGAATCTCATGCTTAAACTCTTGAGGGTATTTTGGGGGGGATTTCTCTCTCTCTTTCTCACTCGCTTTCTGTTTTGTCCATCACCTTGGTTTCTTTCCCCTTTTTTGACCTGCACTTTTTCTGGATCAGACACTGGCAGGTTGAGAGGTAATAAGAACCAGATGGACATAGCGCAGAAATTGCCAAATGGGTACGGGAATGTGGGGAGCTGTCAGGCATGCAGAGAAGCTGGAATTTTTCAGCAATAAAATGGGATTTATCACCACTCTACCACAGTCATTGCCGACAACCGTTTACCTTGACAGAAATCCCATTCCAATAGGCCACTCCGATACAGATTTTTTTTCCCCAAAGAGTGATGATTGGTATTTGTTCTAAGGCTCAAATGGCCTGCACTAAAGGTGAAGCATTAGGCCAAAGTCCTGTATTCCCTACTGAGGCAATGAACCTGCTAAAATAAGTTCCTTCCACAATAGCTGTGTAATTGAAACCAGAAAGTGAGAGAATTTGATTAATTGCTTGACCCTGAAGGAATGTTAAGGTCATAAATTTTCATTGCTTTTACACCCCTTTTTCTCTATTTTTTAATATATTGATTATATTTAGTATTTGTTTCAGAATTTCAACAAGTTTACAGATCAGCAGCCAGCGTCTATTGAGAAAGCATGGAAAATCAACAATTAAAAAGGACTAAAGGATTCCCACCTTATGTCTTCCCAAGATGGATCAAGGATACAAAGTCCATTAAAAAGACTGTAGCAAAGAAATCACACCGTATCTCATGAATGATAAAGTGTAAAAAGGCTTGCAAATCACGTATGGTGATCCAACATTCATTGCCACGCTTACCTTTTTTGTTCACACTGCCACAAAAGTGACGACAATTGCAATGTAACTGGAAATGATTGTCAGTGGTATTATTAAACAAAATGTACATTTTATTTTTTCTTTTCTTTTTAATTTTTTTTAATGTCAGTAGCCTACTGTGAAACATAGCAGCCTTCTTTGTACCTGCCACCCCCACTAAAAAGACAAGCTGAAATAATGGGCTAAAATACAAAAGAACTGTCTTTAAAGTGTAGCAGTTTAATTTTTATGTCTGCATTAATTGTGTTATATTATAGTACTGGTCTTTATAATCTTACTGCTTTTTCCTGGTTTGACTATAACATTTCAGTGGCAGTAATCCCATCATAGCAGTTGGATAAAGCATTACACTTTACATAGCCACACATACTTAACCCAACATTCAGCAAGTTAAATAATCATTAGCACAGTAACCCACTGCTATCAAAAATGTATTGGTCCTCTAAATTTAAAATTAATGGTCTGTCTTCCTAGCAGCATATGTCTGGTTTCTAACCATTCAGCATGAAGTCAGGGACATTTTATCAGTACACATTAGACAACTTTTGTTATTGGCATTTAGAGACTAAAAAGTCACAGATGGAAATGGTTGTGGCTGAATTTTTTTTTATTTATTTCTAGAACTCTGATTTTAAAACAATCTCTGTTCTGAGTGCTAATTATCAGCTGACATTATCATGTACCTGCTGTCGATATGTAGCAGGGCTGCTATGCCTTGAAAAGATTTTTTTTTCTTTCAAAACCAAGTAAATGGGAAAATAAAGAGAAAAAGTTTTGTAAAATATTTGCTAAAGAAAGGTTAATAACTTGTATTTGTATACTCTACTTTCATTTAATTTTTCAAAAATAAGAAGTTTACCATTTATATATACGTTTCCCCTTAGAGAGTGATTTTTTTTATATTGTAACTATTTGTTTCAGAGCCCAAATGTCCCCCCTCCTTTACATGAAGAAGTAGGGGGGAGGTTGGTAATAAAAAATTTTGAAACAGAGAATGAAGAAATATCTGCTTTGTTTACAACTGGAGAGAAAAAAAGATAAAACTTGGAATTCAACCTAAAAATGCAAAGTAAAATGACATATTACAGTGAGAATATTCATGTTATTGTACACATATTTTAATAAAAGTTCTAAAATAAAGTGCCCTCTGTCTGCTTTTATAAAAGAGAGACATTATGACGTGCAAGTGATGCAGCTAACATGTCTATTTCTGGCTTGGGTTTTTCACCATTAAAATGTTCCTTCGTGCTTCCACTCAGGAATCTTGTTGTAGAGCTGCTTTAGACCAAAAAAAAAAAAAAAACCTCTCGCATAAGTATAAATAAAATATGAACAGAAAATGGCTTCAATCACTAATATTTTTGCAAACTAATGTTCAGCTGATGCAACTCAATTTTATTTTGCATCACATTAGTGTCATAATGGTAATGACTGGCCTTTATTCAGTAACAGTTTGAGTCAGCACTTTGAGACATTTTTCAAATTAGGTCATACTGCAAATTTGTGGCTGATACAAAGGTTGATTAAGAGAGCTGCATGATTTTAAAGTGATGTGGTGTGAGGAGAATTAAGTTCTCTGTGATAGTTCCGGGAAATGTGACCCACCATCACTGAGCAGAAATAATGTATGGGCAATAGGCGGGAGAACACATTTCCACAGAGTGCTTGAAGTAATACTCATTTGCAATTTAACAAAGTCCTCTCTCTCCCATGGAAGAATTGTGTTATGGATCTTGAAAACAAGCAATGAGTTACAATAAGGACACAGAGAGATGATCCCTGCCCTTGTTTCAGAGAAAGCCAGTTCTCTTCTTTTATGTTTCTTTGAACTTGTCAGTAAAGACAAATTCTTTTTATCTGAGAAGAGACTTGTCTTTATGAAGCTAAAATGATCCCATGTCAGAACTAGCCTATTAACCTATCATGTAACAACTCTGAGGGGAGGCTAAATTGTTGTGTAAGCTAATGCTGAAAAATGATTGGGCAGATTTTCAGAGGTGATCAGTTCCCAGTTAGACACCTAAATGAAGTGGTCATTATTTTCCAAACTACTCACCAGCTCTTGCAATCCTCAGGGGATTTACTACAAAAGAAATGAAGAAAAATAAGTTTCTCCATAGGAGCTGCTGGGTGCTGAGCGCCTTTGAAACTCCGGCCACTTCATTTTGGTGCCTAAGTGGGAGCTGAGCTCTTGGGAAAACCTGATTAAAGGAATAACACTGTAGCTGTTGTTGTGAGGCCACAATACTAAAATTGCCCGACTGTTGGGTTTTTATTTTTAAACTCTGTTTTTGCAGTGAATCAGTAACAACCTGTGAGAGGCAAAGTCCCTCTTAATTGGATTTAAGTGGATGAAAGTCAAACCAGAAAAAAAAACTTGGCATTTAACTCATTGGTTCACTTGACAAGGCAAAAAGCTATTATTAGCAATTATGTTTGCTTCACACATTAGGCTCAAAAGAAGAAACAATTGGAGTCTGATCAGTTACACCAAAGAAAAACACTAAGACCAGGGTATGCTTTGGTGAAATTAAAATCAGAATCCCTTGTGTGTAACTCTTCTAAATTTATTTGTGTTATGGTTTCTTAAAGATCTAGCAAAACCAACATGAAATGGAAATTATTTTTAAAATCTGATCTGAAAGAGGCAAATCAGTTGCTATGGAGCTGCCCTGAAGACTACTGAGCTGTTCCATGTTCTCTTTTTTTACATTTTCTTTGACATCTTTGTTCTAAAGGTTCTGAACTTGGATTTGTGGCACAGGGAGCTGACTTTATTTTTTGATGCTGTGCTCACCCACAGACCTTTCCATTCTCCATATGTTTCTGGATTCATTCACTTCACCCACAGGCCTCTTTGACAGAACAACACCTCAAATCCCTTGGAATGGCAAAGTCCATTTTATTCCCAGTCACTTTCAATTTGCATCTAGTGTTTCTCTGAAGGTTTTAGCAAATGTGATTTCTAGGACCAAAAATAAAGAAGAGGGAAAGTAGCAGACAGACCACAAATGAGAAAGTGGCATAATCCACAAAAGAGGTCTCTGTAAGTGGTATTTTTGAAGAAAAGTACCCAATTAGGAACATGAGTCTCTAATAGCCATAATTGTTTTCAGTATTTGGAGGTATGTTTACACTTTCACCAACTTAAGCTTTTCATCAGAGTAAAAGGAAGATTATCTTTACATGTTAAGAATAATATAAACAATAAACTGGTTGTAAAGATTTTTAAATTATTTTTCCTATGTCATCACCACAAATCTTTCTTTGGGGTTGCTCCTACAGAACTTATTCAACCAAATCTCCCATGGGTGAAGGTATATGCTGCAGGTCAGCACCATTGCAAGTCCGAAACATTCAAAAATCATGACTCAGTCCTCAAAAATCATAGGAATGTTTAAAGCCAATCATTAGAATTTTAAAATAATGATGAATTTGGGGCTCTTTTTATTTGCCTTCTGCTTATTGAACTTCTGGGGTGCATTGGGCCTGTTTCCAAGCTAGTTTCTGCTGCCTTACGTATTTTCTAAAATATAAAAACTGAGAATCTCACAAACACTTGGCCTCAGAAACTGGAGCTCTACGAAACAACAGCAAATCTCTGAATTGGCAGTCATGGATCAGGCCACTTGTCCTGTTACTTACTGATTGCTATAAATCATGAGTTTGGGTTGGGTTGATGAAAGGGCCCGATTTTATAGCTGCGAGTTCTTTAGCTGCAGCGTTTTTTAGCGCTAACAAAGGAGGATGTTCCTTTCAGTGTACTTCCAGTTGGAATATTTGAATATGCACATTTAAAATGAGCTTCTGCAAATATTCCGACATGAAACTTTATGCCAATAAATCTGACATACATGGGTGTTCATGGAAAATGAATACAAAGGGCCATAGGTAAAGTCAACATGATTGTATGTGTTGTGGTGTGGGGGCCATTCCTCATTAGCCACGCCACACGTCATTGTGAAGGCCAAACTAAAAAGTAACCTTCCTCTTACAAATACTGATTCAATGTAAGGAAAAGATTCACATTCACTGAGGCCCTTGGCATCTATCTAGCCCAGTGGTGGGCAATCTGAAGCCTATTAGGAAACTCGTGTGGGCTGTGAGCCATTTTGTTGACATTGTCCACGGGCACCACCGCCACGACCCCTCGCAGTTACCAGTGACCACAGTTCTCTGCTCCCAACCAATGGGAGCTGTGAAGAGGGTGTCTGCCAGTGAAGGAGCCACAGGGACTTGCTGGCTGCCACTTCCCACCACTCCCATTGGCTGGGAATGGCTCAACGCACCCATTGGGAGCTACGAAGGCTGATCCCCACAGACCATCAATGTCAGCAAAATGACTCCTGGCTCACAATTGGATTACCCTGCTGGTCTGCATGCACTCCATGGGCTGCCGGTGGCCCACCGCTGCTCTAGCCAGACCTTCCACTGCGTGTCTGAGTCAGAATCTCAGACAGTGGCACAAAGAAACATTCAAATGCCAAGTTCAAGTTGACACGCCTGGCCATTAGGAAAGACATTTTAACTGAGATACCTCAACCTGGAAGGTTCGAAGCTCAGAGTCACATGGGCCCTTACAATGCCATTCTCACAGGTTTGCTTTCCTGCCCCTTGTGTGATGTTCACACCCGCACGTGGCCTACGGGACACTGAAATCTTCACTCTGCACTACCTTCAGCTCCACTGGAACAAACACCTACTGAATTTACATCACAAAAGGAGCCACCCTGCCACTAGGCCAGGGTTTTAGTATAAATTGTTGTTTATCTTCTCCTCATTTGACCCAGACTGGAGCCAGTTTCCTCGTGCGTATGCAAAATAGGAGGCTAGCACATAAGAATTTGCCCCTTCACCAACCCTTGTTCAGGGGGCCTTAAGCAAAAGGGTTATCACCTATTAACACCTATGAAGAATGATCCACCTTACAATGGGAAGGAGTTCATCGCACTCAGGAGAGTGAAGCTAGTCAGTAGCACACTGCAAGTTCTATCCCTTTAACAGACACAGCAGCAGACATGCTCGTCCCTGTAGCCTAACATCTCCAAATGTGTGTTTTGGGAAAGGGCAGCTCCAGCCACATCATGTGTGCCAATGACTAAGGGTGCATCTACACTGCAGGGCTTACCTTGAAATAAGCTAGGCAAATTGAGCTATGTCAACTGCATATCTGATTTTGAAATAGCTTATTTTGAAATGGGGAGCGTCTACACAGCACTTATTTCGAAATAGAACACTCTTCCTCCGACTTATTCCTCATACAATGAGGGTTACAGGAGTCAGAATAAGAAGTCCTCCAGATTGACAGTTTTTTGACACTATTTCGAAATAATTGCCGGCTGTGGCGATGCGGACTAAGTTATTTTGGAATCGCGCTAGTTATTTCGAAATAGTGTTGCAGTGTAGACGTACCCTCAGAGGCATGGGCAGTTGGTGGACATAGGGCTTGGGGTAGGCAAGCTTCCAGCCCCATCCCTTTTGCCCAAGGCTCTGCCCCCCATGGGAGCCAAGCCCACCCCCCATTGCAGGAGCAAGCCTCCAACCCCCCATGGGAGTATCCATGGCCCAGAGCTCATGGAGGATGGGCAGTGCATGGCCCATACCTCCCTGGCCCCAGAGCAGAGGGAGGGCACATTGCCCCAGCCTTTCCAGCCTCAGGGCAGCTGAAACCTGGGAACCTGCTGAAGCTAGGTGTGGAGTGTGGGTGGGGTCATGCCTCCCAGTTTGGGAGGGCAATGCCTTCTCCCCACCTCTTATACCCACCGCCCATACTAAGAGGCAGGATCTAAATCTTGAGCAGCTATTGTTCAACAACTGAGATGTCTTCCCTAAGGGTACGTCTAGACTGCAAGGCTATATTGAGATACTGGAGGTAGCCTGAAACAGCTACCCCATGTCCAAGGAATGCATCCGCTATTTTGAAATAATTTTCAAAATAACGGATGCGCTATTTCGACATCCCTGTAAACCTCGTTCCACGAGGAATAAGGGATGTCTTGAAATAGTGCTTTATTTTTAAATTTGGCACCGTGTAGATGTGCCATATTTCGAAATAGCCTATTTTGAAATAAAATCGAAATAAGATACACAATTTGTGTAGCACAAATTGCATACCTTATTTCGATTTTAGAGTGCATACC